CTGTGTCACCTCCGACAGGGCCCTGAAACCTGCCAGGGTGTCGTTTCCACCTCTGTACCCTGCTGGAATGGGTGTAACCAGGTCCCTCTGACTCTGTAGTGCTTGTATCTTTTTTTTTTTTTTAATATATTTTATTGATTTTTTACAAAGAGGAAGGAAGAGGAATAGAGAGTCAGAAACATCGATGAGAGAGAAACATCGATCAGCTGCCTCCTGCATGCCCCCCACTGGGATGTGCCTGCAACCAAGGTACATGCCCTTGACCGGAATCGAACCTGGGACCCTTCAGTCCGCAGGCCGACGCTCTATCCACTGAGCCAAACCGGTCAGGGCTGTAGTGTTTGTATCTTGAAGTGACAGTATTGGTAGAAATTTCTCCCAATGGTGGCAGCCCGGCATTTGCTGTTACTCAGTCTTAGAAGAAGCCATGCAGGATATATAGGTATCAGCCAACTCTGCTGATCAAACAGGGCAGTGCGCTAGAGGCCTGAGACTCAGTGTTCAGAACTGAGACAAGGGAGTATTTCTGTACAGGGAAAGGGGAAGGAAGCAGAATGGTGCTCTGCAGGTGGCAGGGTTTCCCTGCAAGGTAAGCCAACATGGTTTTGTGTGAGGCCACATTCTGTCCTGTGATTTCGTCCCTGGTTCATCTGTTTTTCTCACTCTTCCCGGGTCTGGGTTAACGGTTGTGTTTTCTTTTGCAACAGGTTGTTTCTCCCAAAGAAGAGAACAAAGCAGCAGGTAATTTCCGGTTCTGTTTTTTAGTTTTATATGTCTGCTTATCAAAACTTTAAATTCTTAGTCAACAGTGTTTCTTTTCTGATTAGATTGGCCTTAAAATTTAAAGACCCCATCACAAACTTGACCCACTCTGCCAGAAAACACATTGTCTTCTGTTTATCCCAACTCTATTTTTAGATTATATTTTGATAAAAGGTATCAATAACAATGTACTGAGCTGCATATATAAAATGTCATCATGAATGTAGGAGACCGGTTGCCACAATATATATTGTTAGAGATTAGTGGAGTATGACACAGTAAAAACATGAAGAAAGTGAAGTGCCCTGGGTGTCCCCGTCCTGAACACCAAGTGGCAGGATGGTGCGGAGAAAGGACTGCGTGGTGGGCAGGGTGTTGCCCAGAGAACCACCACATGGCCAGCCCTCCTGCTTATAGCACCAGGCCTCTGTCAGACGCATTTTATATGTACACGAGAGGCCCGATGCACGAAATTCATTCAAGGGGCTCAGCCCTGCTGCTGCCGCCGCAGACTGCCTCAACCTCCTCTGCCATGGCCGCTGCCTCTGCCTCGGTCCCCACCTCCCTCCCCTTTCCCCTCACCCCCTCCCGCCGCCACGGCTTCATCCGGATGGTTATCTGGAAGGACGCCTGGCCTAATTAGCATATTATGCTTTTATTATTATAGATATGTAGTAGAGCCCAGAGCTGGTTAATTTGTTTCTGTGTTGGAAGCAAATAAAGAGTGAGCAAAACCTGAAAGATTACAGAAGAGAAAGTGAGAAGCGTTTTGTGTGTCATTGGCCCTGTTGTGCTGAGCTCTTTGAAGCACAGTGTCCACTTGTCTCTGTTTCTCTGTTGCTTAGTTCCATGGTAGGACCTCAGGGAATTATTTGTGGTACTGTTGTCGAGATCTTCAAGTTACAGTAAAGCTACGTGTTTCGCAGGATCTTTGGGGGAATGATGAGTTGAGTACAGGTAAATTTTTTTTAGTTCTGAATGAGCAAAAAGTGTGAGACACCAAAAAGCAGATATATAGTCATCCTGAGCTGATTGCAGCATCTGTTAGAGAGATAGAGAGAGCCAGTGGTGACCTTGGAGAAGAACTAGAGCTGAGAGTGGAGAGCCTGTAGGTCGAAGGAGGCAGGTGAGCAAAGGAATTGGAAGTAAATGGAGAGATGAGTTTCCTGGAACAGGAAGAGCTGAAAGGGCATCACTTCTGAGAGGACTGAAATGTGGTTGGAGTGGATGACAGCGCCTACCTACTTGGAGGGACCGATTTTGCATAGGCAGTGGGAGCCATGGGAGGTTGGTTAGCAGAAGCATGGCAAAGTCTGAGTTCATTTTAGAAAGTTTCCTGGCAGTAGTAATAGCACAGATGGTTGGGAATGGGAAGGACTTTGCCAGCATCTGGGTGAGACCTGGTGAGGGAAGAGTCAGAATGATGGCCAGAGGCCCAGGAAGGGAGGGTCAGACAGCCTGGAGGTGAGATCTGACTGAGCAGAACAGTACATGCAAGTAGCTACAGAGGACTGACAGTGTGGCCCACTCCAATGGCCTGGTACCCTCAGTGCAAATATACACCAGATTTCTGAGCGTTAGTAAGAAAAAGGAATGTAACTCTGGCCAGTGGCTCAATTGGTTGGAGCATCGTCCCGTACACCAAAAGGCTACGGGTTCAATTCCCAGGTAGGGCACATACCAGTACCTAGGTTTCTGGTTCGATCCCCAGTTGGGGCATATACAGGAGGCAACCAATCAATGTTTCTCTCACATCCATGTTTTTTTCTCTCTCCTCCCCCCCGCCCCCCCACCTCTCTAAAAAAAAAAAAAAAGAATGCAGAGAATCTTATTAGTCAATTTTATGTTGATTAAACATTGAAATGATCAATTTTTTTATATATCAAGTTAAATATTAAAATTAATTTTAACTGTTCTGAACATGGCTGCTAGAAAACTAAAAATTACATGGGTGGTTCTTTTGATATTTCTGTTGGACAGCTTTAGCTTGGCTGGCGGTGGGAGGGAGGTTGGAGGGAGTGCTTAGGTGAGAGGGATACCAGTCAGGAGATAGAGGAAAAGGCTGCCTGCGAGGTGCTGGCTGCTAGATCTAGGGATGGGACTTGAAAGTCAGGTCCCCGGTTTTGGAGGTGAGATAGAAGCTAGAGACGTCGATTCATCCCCCTGATGATAAAGGGAGAGACGTCCCCACACCTTGAATCCAGCCTAAGTCTGAGAGAGGAAACCAAGAAAGTGATCAGCAATACGGGGCAGAATCAGATCAGTGATGTGCAAGCCCGGATGAAGTAAGTTTCGGAAAGGGCCAAAACATACAAACAAAAAGATGGCGTTCTTTTTCCATCATGTGTGCACACCTCTACCTTTCTAAACAGAAGCGATTTAGTGTCGTCACTGGGGATGCTGGTCACATGCAGGTGCTGTTCACATGCAGGTGTTCGACCCTGAAGGGGTGGGCTGTGTCCTCTGCCCCAAGTGCACTTAAAGTAGGTCGCTCGCCTCCAGTTCTGTAATGGTGACTTCTAAGGGGATGCCAAATGGAGCAAATATTTGTGAGAGAAAATAAACTGGAAATGCAACTAAACAAGAGTTAAAAGGTAGTGGTTTCCGGTGAGCATTCGGGGCCTTTCTGTGTGTTCTGTGTATTAGCAAGTCACACCGGTCACGGAAGTGGTTTTGTGCTGCTCTCAAGTTGTTGGAAGGGCTTGCTTTGTGGAAAAAGGGATAGTGGGTTAGTTTTCTTTTTAGAGGGGAGGTAGGAGATCAGAGTTGTATTTTTTTTTTCTTTTAAAAGGATTAGTACATAATGATTCATTTTATTTATTTTTTTAGATTTTTTTATTGATTTTTAGAGAGAGGAAGGGAGAGAGAAACATTGATCGGCTGCCTCCTGCATGCACTCCCCCTACCAGGAATCGAGCCTGCAACCTGGGCATGTGCCCTGACTGGGAATTGAACTGTGACCTCTCAGTTCATGGGACAACGCTCAACCAATGAGCCAGGGCATGCTGATATAGCTGAGGCCTTCCTCAAGTACCCGTAAAACGTTATCTGCTCTTTTTCCCCAAAGAAATTCCTGAACAGTCTGTTTTATTTTTACTATAATATGTTTATTACATGAAGAGATATGAGTGCTTTTTTAATCTTTTTCTTCGTAGAACCACCACCACCTAAAATTCCCAAAATAGAGACCCCTCACCCTCCATTGCCTCCGGCCCACCCACCACCAGGTCAGTGTCTGCTGAGAGCCAATGGGGTGCCAGCTTTTCTCTCTACTTTTTTGAAGGGCGGGCTTGGGAGGTCTAAGGGAAAGTTTATAGAAGGGAGACTTTGCAGCCAAAATGTTAAAACAGTAACGACCAAGGATCTTTCAGAAAACTTTTACACAGATGTTTTGAGGACGTTGTAAATTCTAAGTATATTTGGTCACATCCAGAAATGCAGAACTACCCAGGAAAAGTGAGTTTAGAATCAATTTTAGGAAAACAGCCCTGCCAGTGTGTGAACATTGCCCACATCTGGGCAGGTTGCTGTAGATCTTAGACTCTGGTGCTGTGATGGGGTGGGGGTGGGGTCTGTGGAGCTGCTGGCCACTGACTCGTCTCTCCACTGCAGACCGGAAGCCTCCCCTCGCGACTGCCTTAGGTGAGGCTGAGCCACCAGGCCCCGTGGATGCCAGTGAGCTCCCCAAAGTCCAGATTCCTCCTCCGGCACACCCGGCCCCTGTGCACCAGCCACCACCGCTGCCACACCGGCCACCGCCACCGCCACCCTCCAGCTACATCACCGGGATGTCCACCACCAGCTCCTACATGTCTGGAGAGGGCTACCAGAGCCTGCAGTCCATGATGAAGACCGAGGGCCCCTCCTACAGCGCCCTGCCCCCTGCCTACGGGCCTCCAGCCCACCTGCCCTACCACCATGTCTACCCCCCCAACCCACCCCCCACCACCGGTGCCCCCTCCCCCAGCCTCCTTCCCCCCACCTGCCATCCCACCCCCAACTCCCGGGT